AACTGGAAAATGGAGCATTGAAAGAGGTCATTAAGAAGATGACTATGTATCACCGTTATATTGATGACACATTCATTATCCTGGATCGAAATGTGGATACAAATGCGGTGTTAAAAAATTTTAATGAACTGCACCCTTCACTCACTTTCATTTGTGAGGAAGAAAATGGCAGTAAAATATACTTCCTGGATGTCTTGCTAAACAGAAGAGAAGATGGTTTACCCAGCAGATGTGTTTATAGGAAGACCACATCTATAAGTCTGTATACACATTTTCTAAGTCATGTACCAATTCAGTAAAAAGGAAACTTGGTTAAGCGCCTCACTAACAGAGCGCGAAAAATATGTTCGAATGACCTAATACAGAAGGAGTTAGATTATATCCATAATTCATTGGTTGAAATGGGCTACCTTAACAGTTTCATAAAAAGACACATGGAAAAAGCCAGGGGGAACAAACCTGGTATTATTACCACACAAAAGAAACCTTCGTTTGTGAAATTACAATTTAATGGGGATGTGGCTGGAGAAGTTTTATATCAGAGACTCTCTGGAGCCATTAAAGGACCGTCTACGCCGTACAACTCTGTCTATCATTTTCCAGACAATAGATAAGGTATCTAGTTTTCCCATTTATATACTTATTTATAAGTTTAGCTGCTCCTGTAGCGAAAGCTATATAGGGCGTACTACTAGACAACTTAACAAATGTGTTGCTGAGCACACACCTTCATGGTTGAGAAAGGGATAGATAAAAGTCATCAGAAGTTTGATTTTATCTCACCTTGTTGATAGTGGTCACTTGATAGGTAGATAAGAACAGTGTTTGCTAGATTACTCACAGCATACCACCTCATCTTCCGAAAGGTGTTCGTACTCGTCTTTTACACATAGTTGTAGGAAGCTGTAGGAATTCGAGATAATAATCCTAGTCTAGTCTAGTGTCCAGAAGAAGTTTGTACATCCCTTATCTCTCTCTTAGTCAGTGTTTTTTCCTACCCCTTTTCTTGTTCTTCACCTCTTTCATATACTTACTGTATTTATCTACGCTTTGTTTATCCATTCACCTCATCCTTCAGTACTACGTAAATTTTATTTTCTTATGCTTTCGACTCATTTTGATTATCGGTTCTTATAATCATAATCATATATATTGCATGCGCTTTAGTTAACGTTATCACCTTGTTATTCATCGAAGACTGACATCAGTTGGAGGAACAAAGGAAACCTAGGAGCACTGGACAGCTGTTTCGTCCTAGTATGGGACTCCTCAGCAGTGCGCACCCACGACCCCGCCCTCCAGGGATCGAACCCGCGACCTCCAGGTTCCGCGACCAGCGCGTTACCATTGAGCCACTGGGTCAGAATCCAAACCTGCTCCCAGGTTTCCTTTGTTCCTCCAACTGATGTCAGTCTTCGATGAATAGCAACTTGAAATAATTCCAAATCTCCACAACTCCCTCAAAATTTAATTGAACTAGTGATCGTTGGTGACTAGCTTCGAGAAGTATTCCCGAAGTTCCAATGACAAGTCGTGACCGGTGGAGTCAAAGCCTGGTGGCCGTGAGGACAAATACTCAACGATGACATTGGGTGGCGGTCTGCGCTATATCATGAGCTAACAGAAGTTGGAAATATGGAGCATTGGATTCTGACCCAGTGGCTCAATGGTAACGCGCTGGTCGCGGAACCTGGAGGTCGCGGGTTCGATCCCTGGAGGGCGGGGTCGTGGGTGCGCACTGCTGAGGAGTCCCATACTAGGACTAAACAGTTGGCTGTCCAGTGCTCCCAGGTTTCCTTTGTTCCTCCAACTGATGTCAGTCTTCGATGAATAACAACTTGAAATAATTCCAAATCTCCACAATCCCTCAAAATTTAGTTATCACCTTGATTATTTGTGTTATTATCACGATTGTTATTTTAAAACATTTATTATATCAATCGAAAAATCTGCATGGTTGGTTTACCTTGTTATATATATATATGAAGCTATTTGTATTAGAGTAAAGTCTGAAGAGGATCTAATTGAAAACAGCTGTAACGTGGTGGCCACGGAACCCGAAGGTCACGGGTTCGATCTCTGGCGGGGTGGGGTCGTGGGTGCACACTGCTCAGGAGTCCCATACCAGGACGAAACAGCTGTTCAGTGCTCCCAGATTTCCTTTGTTCCTCCAACTGATGTCAGTCTTCGATGAATAACAACTTGAAAACAATATTGTTCACTCAAATTATTCTTATTCTGAAATACAGATTATTCTATTCACAATATGTTAGACATTTTAGGTGTAAACGCGTTTATTAAAAAAAAAAAAAAGGTAATCACTTGTTAGCAATTACAAATTTATCGATTTATATGTTGTATTGAATAAAAAAAGAACAAGTAGGTAGATTGACAGTGTATGTTACTCTGGCTCATAATATGGTATACTGAATCAATTGATCACATTGATTTATGATGACATATGTGCGTAGAGTTGATAAATGAACACACTTATCGGATACATTAAGACTACAATAGTATAGTATACCTATTAGTCTTTATGTCAAGTATTCGAGTAATAAAGTAATCTGAACTACCTACTAGGTCTGATACAGTTAAACTCTTCTTTATGAATCTGGCAGAAGTCACTTTCATTCTACATGCCAAATTATTACTTCACTTTATGACCCCTCTTCTGATCTTGAAGCATATTCTAATAATGAATGAATGAATGAATGACACAATGCACTCTTAAACACGTTACATACTTTTAATGCTGAAGGTTCGTCTTTGAGAATGAAAGTATAATTTGAAAAATAATCATAGTGAATTGATAATATTGAGTAAAAGCATTATTAACAGTTTTGAAGAACATTTTTTTTCCCCAAAGTTAAAATGATATCAGTGTTAGGGTTAGGGTTACTGAGGTCACTTATCTAAAGATAATTTCCATTGCTTCAGAAATGTACCTGGAATGATGTTTTCTTTTACTCAGTAAATATCAGTTTAATTGGAACATTCTTATAATTCACTTATCAATGGATTGAAATGAATGAGTGTACAGTTATCAGTGTAACTACGTTATTTCTAAGACCTACTATCTAATTAACCACACGTGAATTATTTATTGAAAAAGAACATGTATATTTCAGTGATTTTCATTTTTAAAGCTATACACAATCGTAAATTTATACATTTTTCTAGTATAGGGATTTGATAGTTAAAAACTGTTTGTCAAGCATGATAGACAACTTAACTACCGTCAGTCAAGTGGGTTATCATTAAAATCGAAATCACTAAACACTGATAAATATTACTACTACTACTAGTAGTAGTAGTAGTAGTATTTTACAGTTCCTCAATTACTCATTCTTATTATTCTGGCCATCTTATCTTCAGTATAGAGTGAGAAAGCCTAGATGGCAGCTGTTGATGAATGTTTGTAGTTTGTTGGAAATGCTTTTCGTGACGCACCAAGTTTCTGAACCATCATATAGAAGCACTGACTTGACTTGACATTAGTGTCGAAAATCGAGCTATTGTTCACGCTTTATGCTGAGCGGAGTGTTGTGGAGTAGATCTCCACACTGATTTCAGATTAATGAAGGAAGGCCTGTCTTGCTGTCTTTCTGATCCTGGTTTTGACATCTTTGTCTGTGCCGTTGCCTGTAGTTGAAACGATGCTGCCGAGGTTGGTGTAGGTGAAAGAGACTACTTCCTTTAGGTTTCTCCCATTGATGGTGATTGCAGCTTATTGTTGATGCTGTCGTTGGTTGGGTATCCTCATCTCTTTTGAAATTTGGGCAGCCTTGCTAGGTTCAAACATCGTGCGGACATTCCATGCCCCCATGTTTACTTTCGATCTCATACAGCGAGAGAAGACACATCAGCCGACTGGCTTCCCGAATGCTTTCACCAACCAGCATCATTTCTCCTCTCCGATTCCAGGGAGGAATAAGTTTGTTTGTATTTTTTATATTTTGTTTGTGCTTTGAAGTTTGTTTAGCGATTGGACTGGTTTTATAGAGTAGGGTTACTATCCATATGACCAACCTTCCGTGTTTATCCTGGCTTAGGACCTGCTAGTAACTAGTTAACTAGTTAACCAGGCGGGGTTGCCACACTTCATAGTATCATAGAAAGAATAGGTGGATAGAAAAGTGATTTCAAAGTAAACAAAGTTGTATGCGAGAATAGACAATTCAAAGATAACGGTTATTGTGAATATTCAAGCTTTGGAAGATGTCATGGAGTGAATACATCTGGACTGTTGTGACCGATTTTTAGTCCTCAGGATCAAGATGTGCAACACACATTCAAGTCATCTCAGTCGATGAAGGTTCACAACCTCATCAGTTCACTTACACGTATTGCCTAGTACATTTTGCCTGACCTTAAGGTAGCCCACATGTTGATTCCACCAAATGTAAGCAGTCCTACGAAGACATCTGCGATGAAAATGCTGCAATTGCTGGCTGTCTTCTACTTTCAGTGGCCATATGTCACAGGCGTATAACAAGACACGATTGGCTGCCACTCAGTATATTCGTCCTTAAACAGACAGTTGAATATCCCTCCAGTTGGAACCACAGATGATTCAAGTTGGCAAATTCCAAACAATCCCTCAATATTCGAGCTGAGATTTCGTCAGCACCCAGCCCGTTCGAGATGATGCAACTCCCCAAGTAAGTGAAGTAGTCGACATATTCCAACACTTTATTCCCCATCCTGAAGACAGGAGTGGTTTCAAACGAGTCCTGTAGAAACATTTCACATTTCACACTTGCCAGTGAGACACATGCCGGCCAAGCATACTCAAATGTCCGCTCAACACACGCAGAAGATCCTAGCACAACAATATCGTTTGCATACTCTAAGTCAAGCATTACCTTACATTATATCCATTACTATGTCTTTATCGAAGTTAAACATGAACGGTAACTGGGTATACTTGACTATTACTTTGTTTTACTAAACTTTTAAAAATATATTCATATATCTCTATTTTCTTGTTTTTCCAGTATTGATCGTTCAACAGAACTTAACAATAAATATGGATATATATGTGAAAAGAATAAGATAACATACGATTTCGTAGTTATGAATGGATCAGCTCCTGGACCTGGAATTATTCATGCTGCTGAAACATATAAAGTGGATTTAATTATTATGGGTTGCCGTGGATTGGGTAAAGTTCAACGTACACTCATTGGGAGTGTAAGTGATCATGTGGTACACAATACTCATGTAACATGTATTACTGTACCACCTAATGAATAGACACTAGATAAATATAACGAATGCATAAATTTTTACAGACGAGATGTTCGTTTGTTTTTACCTTAAAATCAATTGTCGCTTGTATTCATACATCTTACTTTTTACAGATCATTTGTGAAGTTAATAAAATTACTTCCATCACATTATTATTATTTGTCCCTTGGGTTCCTAGTGGAACATACGACTTCAGTAGCACGTCGGCATTCCACTCTCTTCTCTAAAATCTGCTAAACCTGGCTCCTCTAATTCCCATAACTTTTCATTTCTTCCTCACACACCATCTGCTACATGCCACTCTCACACGCACAACTCATCGTTTGCCATTTGACTTCCACTCGACGGCCTGGACTGGCCTGAGCTGACTCATCTTGTCACTGTATGTTCAATCCAATCCAATCCATCTCCACCTTCTTCTTCTTCTGCATATTTGTTGGGCGATAGGTTCTTGGTTGGTTGGTTCCTTGCCAGATCAGAGTTCCACTTTGCTTATTCTCATCTCATCTCATCTGATCTTCAGTATCGACCGAGTAAGTGTGCGAGCCAGTGAGCGTAGGCGGCAGCTGTCGATCATGTATGTGTGCAGTTTCTCTAAAATGCTTTACGTAATGCGTCAAGACTCTCAACCATCACATAGAAGCACTGACTTGACTGACAGTGTTTAGAATCCTGATCTTGTTCACGCTTTATGCTGAGTGGAGTGGGGTGAAGTGGAGTGGAGTAGATTTCCACACTGATTTCAGATTGAAGAAGGAAGGTCTGTATTGCTGTCTTTCAGATCCTGACTTCGGCATCCTCATATGTGCCACTGCCTGCAGGTGAGACGATGATGCATAGGCAGGGAGGTGAAAGAGACAACTTCCTTCACATTTCTCCCGTTGATGATGATCGGTGTCTCTTGTTGTTGTTGTTGTTGGTTGTGTATCTCATCACGTCCATCTTCGGTCTCTACGTTCACCTGAAGAACGCCTCGCCTTCACTGCCTTGTCTCTTCTGCCAACCTGTTAGTTTTCTCCTATACATCTTCGAGTTTGTGCGACATTAGAAATGAATCATCATCGGCGAAATCCAAATCTTCTTGTAGGGTCTTTTCATCCGTCAAACAGCGTATGCGTTTCTTCGCGTTACTTTCATCACATTTTTTCCTTTTTTGAGCAGCTACATTAAATTCTAAGAGTTCAACACTCATTAGTTGTGGAGCTCATCTGCACAGTTGGTTCGGGTAGGTATAGACTAATGTAAGTCGTTAGTTGGAGAACTCAAAAGATGGCGTGAAACCAGAATAAATATGGTTACCAAGATGAAATTAAGATATGAATTTATTCACATTTTTAACTCTATATGTCGATTTATTTATGACATTGTTGGTGTCACCAGAAAGACAGAAATCAATGTATCACTTTAAACTTCAATGCGTTATCCCCTAGACTACTAACTCATGACAACAACTTCTGATACAATAGGCATAACTTATGATTCTCCAGGCGATAACCGAAATAACAGCATCTTGACAATGTTAAAGTAATATAAGAATGTCTTTAGGGGCCAGCTGATTTGATTCAATAAACTGAACAATGGTATTTACGTATATTTACTTATTATATAGTTTCTTATCAACATGTGGCTGATTTCACTTCCTCAGCCTGGTAACTAACTCTTTGTACTGCTTTTAAGCACTTTTTCATCACAAAAAGTTGTTTAGATGGAAGTGCTAGCACATAATGAACTGTAAAACCTGACAGCTACATGGTAGCTTACCAGTCTTCAAACTCAATAAGAATGTCAATGATGGATCGTGGCTTACAGGGGGAATCCATGAAGCGCATTTCGTCCTATTTGGGAGGCGTTGCACAAGAAGTAGCTATCGTGGCTCGGTGGTGTGGTGGATAACTCTCTGGCGGTTGAAGCGATCGCTCCCGAGTCCGAGTCCCGGTGGGAACAACACCCACTGGGAGGTAGGTACATTCAGTTGACGAGTGAGTCCCAAATAGGACGAAATGCGCATCCTGGATTTCACTGTTAGTTACGATCCATCATTAGCATAATTAGAACGCTGGCAATATCGAGGCATCCCACAGGAGCCCATATGCCATAGATACTGATCAATTCGGTCCAATCATCAACGGTGTCATGCAAGCATTATCACTAGAAGACACTAAGATTACGCATACTTCGCTCTGTTGCACCAACGACCATTCCAAAGTTTTACACGAAGTTAGAATAGGCTACCTCTAGTAACCTTTTAATTTTATCGTATACCTAGAGTTCCAATGACTAGCACAATTAATGTTACCTTAAGATTTTCATTGCTTAAGATGATCCACTTAGGTCATTAAAAGTAATATTTTGTAAACAATCATCTCCCCATATGTTTGGATATTCGGATTGGACGCTACTGAGGAGGATATTGCAAACAACTGAAGCAGCTTAGTAAAGAAAATGTTTAAGGTTTATGTGGTGCTTGTATGTTTGCTTCTCATACTCCTCTAAGATGACCTTCAAAGACTCAAAAGACAGGGACGCGACAAGATAAAATGTCCCATAGAGATTGATTCGTTTTTGGTTACAGCACTTCGAACAGTATCGTCCCTCATCATGAAAATTTAGCAATCCTTATTCAGTTTGCTCCCTTCTATACTACTTTTCGATTTCGTGCAACAAATCACGTAGGATGTTTCCTCGTTCATTTTGATTGGACAACAAGTGACACAGGAAATGAGGGAGAAGGGGTAGAAAATAACACTTACAAAAAGTTATTACCGTGGATTAAATGTATTTCAGTTTCTTGGCTCTCTAAGAATACAGTTTATTTTCAAGTTGTTATTCATCGTAGACTGACATCAATTGGAGGAACAAAAGAAACCTGGGAGCACTGGACAGCTGTTTCATCCGAGTATGGGACTCCTGAGCAGTGTGCACCCACAACCCCACCAGGGATCGAACTCGTGACCAGCACGTTACCATTGAGACACTGGGTTGGAATCCAGTGGTCCACATTTCCAACTTCTGTCAGTTCACGTCATAGCCCAACCGCCACCCAATGTCACCGTTGAGTAACTGTCCTCACAACCATCAGGCTGGCCCCACTGGTCACGATTTCTCACTGGAACTGCTGAGAAGTCCCATACCTGGAAGAAACAGCTGTCCAGTACTCTCAGGTTTTCATTGTTCCTCCAACTGACGTCAGTCTACTATGAATATTTCTAAATCCCCACAACACCCTCGAAATACAACATAGTTTATAATCAGAGGCAAATTTAAAACTCTATCCCCATATTTGAACTTAACGGACAGTTGAAAATGAACTATATAAATGAATCGTTTGGAATGCTGAATTGTTTGATTTCTTCATGTTAAAAAGTGTGTACAATCTTATACTGATTACAAGACTGAAGAAAGCCAAAAAAATATTGCCATCTTTCAACCAGAAGTGAAAATTTCCCCTCAAGTCATAAATAAAACGAAACTCCAATCAATATATAAACTTCCTTTTAGTGATATCCATTTCAAATAGTTATAAAATCATGGGAAAGATTTGTATCTCAGGATGAAAATGATGATGGTTTGATGTTGTTTGATCTTCGGTATTTTATCATGGATGTTTCATCCTCGGTAGCACTAACTTCAAGAAGTATGAAGTATAGTCGAATATTACACAAATGTTCAGATAATGTTTTTATTGGAAAAAAATTAGTCCGTTTGATGAACTTTTATAGGGTAATAAGAAGACCGAGATTATCTGAGAAATCTGTGATGTATTGGCCCAATATATTTTCGAACAATCTGATCAAATACACATTTATTTGTCAATGCATTTTGTATAAAAGGTGAAAATAGGGTGAAGGTAAAACAGACCAAACAAATCAACGATGACATTGGGTGGTGGTTGCGCTATATATCGTGAGCTAACAGAAGTTGGAAATATGGAGCATTGGATTCTGACCCAGTGGCTCAATGGTAACGCGCTGGTCGCGGAACCTGAAGGTCGCGGGTTCCATCCCTGCTGGTGGGGTCGTGGGTGCGCACTGCTGAGTCCCATACTAGGACGAAACAGCTGTCAAGTCCTCCCAGGTTTCGTTTGTTCCTCCAACTGATGTCAGTCTTCGATGAATAACAACTTGAAATATTTCCAAATCTCCACAACCCCCTCAAAAATTTAATAAAACTAATCAATCAAGATAATACAAGATTTGGAAAATATAGGGGGATAATAATAATGAGGAATAATCATACATTCTCACACCTCCTTTGGCATTAAAATGAGATAAAGATTACTAAGGCTGAAGGTTTAAGGTAAGGACAAACTGTTTCTCAATGGGGGTTTGAACTTTTGAACAACTAAGGCTTCAATGAACCTAAGTATACGGTCTTCACAGCTGGTTTACAAGGGTCTAAAGGCTGTTTTGGGGTCAATCTTGTGACGTGCCTTTAGAATTTGTTTATCTATCGACAATGACATCCGCCTGCCTCCTGTTTTTATCGGATTATTTGAATGTAGTTGTTTTTCTAACCATATACAGATATGATTCACCATCCTTGACTTCATAGTTCGATTATTCCTCCTCCAAATGTAGGCGTCATGCACAGACATGTAGATCAGTTTATACAGAGGGATGTGACGTAATCATCTCTGTAGTGATGAGGTTTATTTTGATGCGTAGGTTTCATTTTCTCGATAATATTGAGGTTGGCTCCACATTATGTCTTCGTCTTAAGATCACACCGCTTGAATCTCCCTTATACGGTAGACTGATGTAAACATCCTTCTCCAGGATAGAATACTGATCAGTTGGCACAATTAAAACGTTTTAATAATGGTTGGAACCCCGCCTGGCTAACCAGCTAACTAGTTACTAGCCGGTCCTAAGCCCTGATAAACACAGAAGGTTGGGCATACGGCTAGCAACCCTACCCCAGAAAACAAATCTAACCGCTAAACAAACTTCAAAGCACAAACAAAATATAAAAAATACAAACAAACTTATTCCTCCCTGGAATCGGAGAGGAGGAATGATGCTGGTTGGTGAAAGCCTTCGGGAAGCGAGTCGGCTGATGTGTCTTCTCTCGCTGTATGAGAGCGAAAGTAAACATGGGTACATGGAATGTCCGCACGATGTTTGAACCTAGCAAGGCTGCCCAGATTG